GACAAAGTCAATGAAAGAAAGGCTGGTTTGTGTGATGGACTGGGCTTCATTTATAACTCTCTGTAATTTCTTGCACAGCAACAAGTCCTCCAAAAACATGAATGAAACTGACATTTAGCCAAATCAGAAATCAGATTAAATTATATGAAATCATTATTGATTGCTTTAAAAAGCCAACTGTGTTCACTCGTGCGCTTAAGGGAAGGTTACATTTTGTATTACATATTCTTAACTGCCCACTGAATAGGCCTACCAAGTCACTTCAGAGACATCCACTTCATATGAAAGAATAAAGAGAGAAAAAAAACACCCCTTCAGAGTAACTAGTGATGTGTGACTTTTCCACATCAACCATATCCCAATAAAAAGCAAAAGAAATTGCATGCTCCTTTAAGGAGTTGTATCACGAGATTTACATTGATCTTGGATTAAATGAACATCTATGGAAGAATGTGAACCACTCAAGGGAAGAAGTATAGGGTTTTACAGCACTGCACAGGCAGCAAACATGCATATACACAATATGGCTCCAATTTACATCATTTATGCCAATTTAATTGTGTATAGCCACAGGAATTTCCACATATACCCACATTTATAAGATGATACATACTACCATAAGGCTTTCAAAATGTTTTAAAAGTAGTTTTCATTGCCGCTGCATCAAATCATGTGATACAACAGGGTTCTCTGTAATCTTTCTTTTCAGCAGTAACATTGAAAACAGTTTTAATAGTTTGAAACTTCATTATTACACCATGCCCCATGTCCACTACATTCCTCATAATATGACACTCTATCATTAAAATCAAGCCACCAGAACAACCTGGGTTCAATGAGAAGTACAAGATACAGCATACAAGGAGCAACATCATGCGCGCCTGAAAATGAGAGGTCAGTCTATTAAAGCTACAATATAGGACTATATACATGCTAAAAAGTGGAAGCAGCATGCAATTGACAGCTAAACAATCCTACAACCAACAGATTGGAACAAAGCTTTGTCGTCCTGTCACACCCAGTTATCGAGAGTGGTTAACAATTAAAATTTAACAGGCGCAGGAGGTTCTATGGATACATTCATCCTCAACGATGACACAGCCCAGTACATGACAATGACAAGGTGAAGTGTTTATGACCAGACAAACCAAGTGGATGATCCATATTGGTATATTGAGAGCGATTGCCTTTGATAGTTGATGGTATAAAGCAAATATATAAAGTAGACCCAATAAATCCAATATCAAGGGAACTGTGAGGTAATTTTCCACTAGCTAGTGTCATACCAAGTATTTGGAGAAATGTAGTTGTACGTTGTGTACTGAGTGGCTTGCCATAGTCAAGTAACGTCTACCTCTGCTGTAACAGCTTTCATTTTAGTTTGTGACAACCATTAAATGTAGTATTTGAAACATGATGTCAGAAGTTTGAAGTTGAGATTGAGTGAATTTTCAGAGATGTCAGAGAGCCAGCTAATGTAAAAATTAAACAGAAGAATTAAAAGCAGAGTTTTGAAGAACTGAGTGAATTCAGAATGGCTGTGAAAATTTTTCATTTCCTGCCGCTGTGGAAAACACATATGAGGCAGAATTGGCGTTTGTTCCAGTCTCAGTGGTAAAACTATGAAATGACTGGAAAACTAAATGAAAGATCTGAACAAATAAAAACTGCAACTCTGTTATTAGTGCTGGTGGAAAAGCATTATGCTTATGTCGCATGATGCACTGGTATTTATCTGGAAGTTCACACTCACTTGATGCTGCTTTAGATGATGATGGTAACTTTTTCTGTGGTGTTGAGTAATTCCTTTGAATCACTGGTTGACATCTCTCCAGCAGTCATCTTCATATGCCTGTTTCTTTATAACTAAGCACTTCTTTGCAAGAAGCTGAATCACTTTACCAAAGAAGTGCTTAGCTATAAAGAAATAAAGCAGGTGTATAAAGATGACTGCTGGAGAGATGTCAACCAATGACAGCACAAGATGTCCAGTGATCTTACCCAACTGAAAGCTATAGTAGATGATCTGATGTCAATGGAAGTGGAGATATGATGGCAAAAGCCATCACAGACCATGATTCAAAATCTAGCATAGTTCTTAGTGAGAGACCACTCTACGAACCTGAAGGCGAATGAAAGAAAATACCTGAAGACAAGTATGTAAATCATGTGCTGACAGTCAAAGGACTTCACCTGAATCCTAGCAAGGTGAGAGCTGTAGCAGAAATGCATAACCAATAAATATGAAAGCAGTAAAATAATTTGTTGGATTTGTGAACTATCTAATAAGGTTCTTGTCTAATATGTTATCAGAACACAAACTCTAGACCAGTTCACTGCTGTATTAAGGTACAGGGTAAGGAGCAGCTTTCATTTGAATCAAAAAACTAGCAACAACAGTTGAACATGCTCATCAATCCTAAAGAGATATGGAATCTGAAAACTAAGTGTCTTTCTCTGATCAATTGCTCACCACAGGAATATGCCCAGGAAAGGAAAATCATCAAGGGACAAGCAGATTCACCTGACGGACGAGGAGCGCTCCAAAAGCTTGTGATTTCAAATAAACCCGGTAGACTAACTTGGTGTAATGTGACTTCTGGCTTTGTCACCCCAGTCCAATGCTGGCACCTCTACATCATGAACACATTTGAGACGACAGATGAAATGCAATGCAGATATTATAGAGGTGGGACAGACTAGAATGAACAGAGTTTTACTGAATGATCATTTTCCTTTGTTGAACATGTATATTGGGTATCTTGGACAATTTGTAACTGAAAATGTTCACACAATCATTTTTTTTATTAAAAGGGAGGTGTTTACAGAAATACATTTGTGGATACTGTACTGGCTGACTTGCTATAGTCATGCGACTTTTGCAGTCCGATCGTTCACTTTAGCTGTGGCAGCCACTAAACACATTTCTTGAAATCCAGTCACAAAGGACGATAATTTTTTGACTGTTGCAGCTCAGCCCAAGAACATCACTGCAGAAGTTCCTTAAGGCAGTGTCCTAAACACAATCATTTCAGTTGTTCCCACAATAACATTCCCTCCATTGTTAAATAATGAAGTAATCCTGCCTGCATGCAGCATGACCAAGACAACATTAAAGCTTGGGCCAAACTCTGGACAAGTTCACTGCTGTATTGAGGCACAAAGTAAGGAAAAGCTTTCAGTTGAATCAAAAAACTAGCAACACAGTTCAACATGCTCATCAATCCTGAAGAGAAATTAAATCTGAAAACTAAGTTCCTTTCTTTGATCAATCACTCACTACAGGAATATGCCCATGAAAGGAAAATCATCGAGGAACGAGCAAATATCAGAAAAGCTGACAACAACAAATGATCTACCTTCAAGCTTCACCTTTGATATTCAACAGTATTAACACTGTTGAGCCATCAATATTCTGCGACCAAAACTGACCAGGAACTTAACTGGACCAGTTGCATAAATATGGTGGCTGCAAGGACAGATCAGAGGTGAACAACTCACCTACTGATGCCATTAAGCCTATCCACTATCAAAATATGACAAGGCATAAGTCAGGATGTGATGGAATATTCTCCACTTGCCTGGATAGGTGCACTTCCACCAACACTCAAGATGTTTGATGCCATCCAAGACAAAGCAAATCACTTGACTGACACCCCATCCATTAACTTAAACATTCACTCCCTCAATCACTAAACACAGTGGCAGCAATGTATAGCATACACAAGATGCCCTGCAGAAACTCACCAAGGCATCTTTCACAATATCTTCCAACCCTGTAATCCATATCATCCAAAAATACAAAGATGGCAAGTGGATGGGAGTACCACTCAATTAAATCCCTTCCAAGTCACATGCATTCTGAACTTGGAAACGTATCATCCATTCTTCATTGTTAATGGAACAAAATCTTGGAATTCCCTTCCTACAGCTTCAAAGTAACTCTAGCACAGAGACTGCATTAATTCAAGAAATGACTCTCTATCTTTTTTTCAAAGGCAATGAGTAATGGACAATAAACAATGGCCACATCCTGTGAATGAATTAAAAGAAAAACTCAATGGACTGAGTCGCAATGTGGCCCAATTTTCATTCTGAAAATGTCATCTCTTGTTAAAATGAGTGAGCAAATATTATGTGAATCAATTTTAATTTCTCATAAAATTCCAAATAGAGATAGACAGGAAGAAACCATTCAACTGTTAGTAGTTTTTTTTAACTAGATAATTTACGAGACATGATGATATGGTGCAAAAGGTATGGTAGCCAATTCTCTCTTCCTGCCTTGTGAAATATTCTACGTGAAAAATAATCGTTTCCCTTCTCTTTCAGCCATGGTCCACTGAATGTACCCAAACAATAAAATATGGAAGATATGAACCCAAATGAAAAATATTGTAGTACTGGCCAATGTAATCAACCAGGCAGCAAAACAGAAGGTTCTATAAACCATGAAAATGAAACTGGCTTAAACAGTAAGGAACAAAACTCTGATAAATTTCCATCATTTGCAATGCCATCTGGAACAAATTAATTCCGCATAATTCTATAAAATAATGCAAAAGCTATTTCAATTACATTTTTCTATTTTTTTAAATTATCTAATGAGTTTGATAACCACTTGGTGTGGTCAAAATAATGTAGTATTTTCTTATGGGTGTTAACATACTGGCAATATCTATCAATCAAGAAACTTCCTCACTGACCTGACTAGTGAAATTTTAGCCTACGTATGGTCTTCCAAATCAACAAATTTCAGACTGTCAGTTTAAAACTTTACTCTCTTGCACATCTGCATAGCTCCAATTTGCACAGACTGGGCCTTGTATTTGCAATGAAATCATTTTTGGATCATAAAGATAAACCATCTAACAGCTGTAAAACTGCAACAGATGATTTCCATAGCCAGTCTTATTTTTAAAAATCTGCTTTCTTTGATGAAATTGGATACATTTTAGAAGGTAGTTCCAGGTTCACTCTTACATGCCAATGACACAAACCTCAGGTCTCCTTGTGTTCTTGAGAGTTTCACTGTTGAAGTTTATGGCAAGTTTCTTTGATATCTTTTGAGTTTGGTCATTTTCGGTGCTTTTTGGTGAGGCTAAACAAAACATAATCACACATTAAATGCAGACATTGAAAATGGTCTTTCAGATATCAATTCTACTAATCTGAGAAGAGTTTCTACAAAATATATTAATCTACATCCCAACTCTTACATTATTAATTATTTTTGAGGTGTTTTGTTATACATTACTCTCTTTGGGTTGAATTTATTGCAGGGAGTGGCAGTCCTGATGGCATTACGAAAAGCAAGGGAGCCTGATTGGATTCTGCATCCACCAGGCATTAATCTGTTTTGCTTCAATGCACCCTCCCCATAAAGGGCAGCGCTTTGGCCTCCAACAGCTGGTGGCTATTTGGAGGGTTAGCAGCTCTTCAGTTCAGCAGCACATTGGGGATTGGTAACTACTGTATGGTCTGCACACAGCCAAGAGCAGCACCATTGACACCCTAGATTCAGATTAGTGATGAGATAGTAGGAACTGCAGATGCTGGAGAATCTGAGATAACAAGGTGTAGAGCTGGATGAACACAGCAGGCCAAGCAGCATCAGAGGAGCAGGAAAGCTGACATTTTGGGCCTAGACCCTTCTTCAGAAATGGGGGAGGGGAAGGGGGTTCTGAAATAAATAGGGAGAGAGGGGGAGGCGGATAGAAGATGGATAGAGGAGAAGATAGGTGGAGAGGAGACAGACAGGTCAAACAGGCGGGGATGGAGCCAGTAAAGGTGAGTGTAGGTGGGGAGTTAGGGAGGGGATAGGTCAGTCCAGGGAGGACAGACAGGTCAAGGAGGTGGGATGAGGCTGGTAGGTAGGAGATGGGGGTGGGGCTTGAGGTGGGAGGAGTGGATAGGTGGGAGGAAGGATGGACAGGTTAGGGAGGCGGGACAAGCTGGGCTGGTTTTGGGATGCGGTAGGGGGAGGGGAGATTTTAAAGCTTGTGAAGTCCACGTTGATACCATTGGGCTGCAGGGTTCCCAAGCGGAATATGAGGTGCTGTTCCTGCAACCTTCGGGTGGCATTGTTGTGGCACTGTAGGAGGCCCAGGATGGACATGTCGTCTGAGGAATGGGAGGAGGAGTTGAAATGGTTCGCGACTGGGAGGTGCAGTTGTTTAATGCGAACCGAGCATAGGTGTTCCGTAAAGCTGTCAAATTAATATAGTATTCCACCCACCCCTTTGACTACTACTCTCCCCGCCTCCCTAACCTGTCCTTCCTCCTACCTATCCCCTCCTCCCATCTCAAGCCCCACCCCCATCTCCTACCTCCTAGCCTCATCCCGCCCCCTTGACCTGGCCGTCCTCGCTGGACTGACCTATCCCCTCCCTACCTCCCCACCTACACTCACCTTTACTGGCTCCATCCCCGCCTCTTTGACCTGTCTGTCTCCTCTCCACCTATCTTCTCCTCCATCCATCTTCTATCCACCTCCCCCTCTCTCTCTATTTATTTCACAACCCCCTTCCCGTCCCCCATTTCTGAAGAAGGGTCTAGGCCCGAAACGTCAGCCTTCCTGCTCCTCTGGTGCTGCTTGGCATGCTGTGTTCATCCAGCCCTACACCTTGTTATCTCAGATTAGTGACGTTGGCTTGTCAGGGAGGGTGGACAGGGTTGGGGTGTTGTTGCTGAATGTAGGTTGATATTTCCATGGGTATAGATCTGGCCCATGGGTAACAATGATCAGGGAGGCACTGCCCATCCCAAGGCCTCAGGAAGACTATCAGTTTTTGTTCGGTAGTTTCCCATGTGCTAGAGAAGTTTCCATTAACAGCAGCAGGATTAATTCCTTAAGGACCTTGGAAGGTTTTCCTACATCTTTCTATCATTGAGTGAATCACAGGGAATCGAGTGACAAGGGCCACTCCACTCCACCCTCTGTTCCACTCCTACACCTCCTGTACCTCGCAACCCACTCCCGTGGGTCAAATTATCCAGGAAGTGAAACTGTCCATTATCTTTCATGATGATACACATTCCTTGTCAGTTCTCTTTTTTCTGATTGTTCAATGGTTGGTTGGCACATGGAGGACTGAAGTATGTTTTGCCTGCACAACTGTGACTGTTCGGTGATGGTGACATGGGGTTATGGAGAGAGGTGGGTGTTGGTGCAGATAAAGTACAAAGGAAGTAAAGGGAAGTACCATAACAAACTTACTCGGATTGCAGAAATTGGGGAGGGAAGTTGGATGGAACTGGAGGCTGTCGGTAGCAACATGGAATGGGGGGATGATATGATATGTTGCCGACAGCATGGGAATGCAATGACATTGGTGGTGGTCAAGTACAGTCGCATGGAAATGGGAGACGTCATGGGATAATGGGACAGGATGGCAAGAAGAATGAGTTAGGAAGAGTGTAATGAGAAGAATGGAATATCATGAGATGCGACTACATGAGAAGAATGGTATGGCATACAAAGCAGGGAATATCCATATCCAAGCGAGGTTGCTTGGAAAGGGTTGAATGTCGCCAGAAGGGATGGTGTGGGAGGGAGAGATGGCATTGGAGTAGTAGTCAAAGGGGTGGGTGGAATACTACAATAATTTGACAGCAAATATTTTCTAAATTCAGTTTTGAGGTTGGATTACCAGTCCAAAAATAATTTTATGGACTCTTATAAAATGGATGTCTCTCCTGCTGGTGAAAATAATCTTGTACTAACAAAAGCTTTCATAAATTGGTGTGTCTCTATCAAATCTCCCGTTAAGCTTCCCTACTTTTGAAGCAGTTTCTCCATGTAAGCTGAAGTCCCTCATTCTTCCATAAGGAGAACTGCGAGCAAGTCCATTTTACATTCAACTTAAGATCACAAGTTTTTAGTTGTGTAATTACTTTGTGTACCTATTTCATCATTTGTAACTATTACCTTTGTAATTGGATACATTTGTTCACATAAAATAATTTGGAAAGTAAAACATTTGACATTCAATAGCTCCCAAGATTAGCTTAAAAACAAAGGTGCTAGATATTGCAAAAGATGCCCTACCCAAACTTCTTTTCATTTCCTTTCCAACTTTTTTATTTGTTTGATGTTGGTGTCACTAGTGAGGGCAGCATTTAATGCCCATCTTTAATCGCCTTTGAAGAGGTGGTATGAGCCACGCTGTAATAGACACTGACCTGAATGATTGGACAAGATTTGATGATCATGTCGAATGTACGGTTAGCAAATTTAAGTATCAGGCCATTCTTGAACTCGATTATGCAAACTATGAAAAAAATCGTTCAAACATCTTAACTTGCTCCACCAAATGTTGACAGCATACTGTCAATAGAATTTACATGAAGGGATAATAGATTGAATTGCATAACAAATCAAATAATAAATCTTCAGCTCTACTGTAACAAAAAAGGCAGCTTACAAGTCACAGCAGTAATGTAGTTGGTGGGTTCACTCCAAGTACCCTCTTCCTCTTCTTTTGCTTTGCTAACCCGTACCCCAAATTCATAAACAGTATTCGGTTTAAGGTTGTCTATTGTTGTTTCGCTTGTTGGACAGCATTGATACAGCCAATTCTCGTCTGCTTCTTTTTCTCTGTACCGAACTGTATAGTGCCTAAAGAAAGAAATGAAAAAAATGACATCGGAAAATAGAAACATAGAAAATAGGAGCAGGAGTAGGCCATTCTGCCCTTCAAGCCTGTTTTACCATTGATCATGATCATGGCTGATCATCCAACTCCATACTCAATTCCTGCTTTCCCCCCATATTCTTTGGTCCTTTTAGCCCTAAGAACTATATCTTGACACCTTCTTTAAAATATTAAATGTTTTGGCCTCAACCACTTTCGGTCGAAGAGCATTCCTCACAGCTCAACCTCTGACCCAAACTTCGAGACATTGCATATAGTTCCCTCATTTAAATCATTAAAATATATTGTCAATGGCTGCAGTCCCAAACCCATGCATTTTAATTTCTTACATAAGACCTCATCAAAAGCCTTCTGAAAGTCTGTGTAAACTAGGTCCACTGGCTCCCCTTTCTCAACTGTATTAGTTACACCCCCTAAAAATTACAGTAGATTTGCCAAGTATGATTTGCCTTTCGTATATCCATGCTGACTCTGTCCAATCCTGTCATGTTTTCCAAGTGCTCTGCTATTAGATCTTTGATTATTGACTGTAGCATTATCCCACTGCCGATGTCAGGCTAATCAGTATATAATTCCCGGTTTTCTCTCTACCTCCTTTTTTTAAATCGTGGAGTGACATTAGCTACCCTCCAATCCATTGGAATTGTTCCAGAGTCTATAGAATCTTGAAAGATGACCACCAATGCATCTACTATCACTAGGGCCACCTCCTTCATATCCTTGGATATAAACTATTGGGCCCTGGGGATGTGTCAGCCTTTAATCCCATCAATTTCCCATTTTCCACCACTATTTCCCTGACTAATCCGGATTTCTTTCATTTCCGCCCAACCCCCCATCAATAGACACAGTACTTTTTGGGTTGTTATTTATTTGCGTGTCCTCCTTTGTGAAGGTAGAACCAAATGTATTTCATTGGACAGCCATTTCTTTGTTCCCCATTATAACTTCCCCTGTTTCTGACTGCACCGGACCTCCTTTTTTTAATTCATTCACATGATGATGGTGTTGCTGGCGAGACCAGCATTTATTGCTCAGAGGGCTCCCCAACAATCAGCAACAGAATCATTGTCATCATTACATTTTTAACTCCAAATTTTTATTGAATTGAAATTTCATCATTGCCATGACGGGATTTGGAACCCAGGTCCACAGAACATTACCTCAGTCTCTAGATTAACAGTCCAGTGATAATACCATGAGGCCATCACCTCCACTGTTTATTTTCACTAATCTATTTCTTCACAAAGTCACAGAAGCTTTTACAATCAGTTTGAATGTCCCTCACAAGCCAACTCTTATGCTCTATTTTACCCCTCTTAACCAAACCCTCTGTCATCCTTTGTTGAAATCTAAATTGCTCTCAATCCTCGGGTTTTCTGCTTTTCTTGGCCAATTTGCATGCCCTTTCTTGGATCTAATATTAACCTTAATTTCCCTTGTTAACCATGATCAGACTGCATTTCCTCTTTTAGACAGGAATTAACAATTGTTGCAGTTCCTCCAAGCATTCTTTGAATGTTTGCCATTGCCTATCCACCACCATTTATCATAGTCAGCTAATGTCTCACAAACTCGTAATTTCCTTTATTTAGATTCAGGACCCTAGTCTCAGAATCAACTACATCACTCTCTATCTTAATGAAGAGTTCTGTCATATTATGGTCACTCTTGCCCAAGGCACAGCTAAATTGACAATTATTCCTTTCTCATTACATAATTCCCAGTCTAGGACAGCCTGCTTGATACTTGATTCCTCAACATATTAATCTAATTAAAACACAGTATAGAATCCAAGGATTAATCCTTTAAAATATTGTTACTGCTTTCATTTGGTTAGTCTATATGCAGATTAAATTCCAGCTACAATACTTTTGGTGTCCCACCTACAATTTGCAAACTTAGGAAAGAAATGGATGTCCCTGATTTTAATTGCTCATCCACATTGCTCCTGCCGAATGGGAAGTGATAAATCAGAGCCAAAAAACTGAAATATCCTTGGGTCCATGTGCCCCGAATTCCCTGGAAAAAGATGCCTGGCATAATTTCCAGTATATGAATCTCTACAATTGCCATTAAGTCATTGGCAATGTGAGTCAATACTGAAACAAAATCAACTTGTGCCATGGCTTGTCTGGGATAAGAGGGGGATCAGAAAAGCAAAAAGAGAAAGCTTTGGCAAATAGGGTTAAGGAGAATCCAGACGGTTTCTACACATATAATAAGGACAAAAGAGTAACTAGTAAGAGAATAGGGCCGCTTGAAGATGAGCAAGGCCAACTATGTGTGGCACCGCAGGAGATGAGAAGATACTAAATGAATATTTTGCATCAGTGTTTACTGTGGAGAAGGATATGGAAGATAGAGAATGTGGGGAAGTAAATAACGACATCTTGAAAATGTCCATATTATAGAGGAGGAGGTGCTGAATGTCTTAAAATGCATAAAGGTGGATAAATCCCCAGAACATAATCAGGTGTACCCCAGAACTTTGTGGGAAGCTAGGGAAGTGATTGCTGGGCCCCTTGCTGAGATATTTGAGTCATCAGTACCCACAGGTGAGGTGCTGTAAGACTGGAGATTGGCTAACATGGTGCCACTATTTAAGAAAGGTGGTAAGGAAAAGCCAGGGAACAATATACTGATTATCCTGACATCAATGGTGGGCAAGTTGTTGGAGGAAATCCTGAAGGACAGGATTTACATGTATTTGGAAAGGCAAGGACTAATTAGGGATAATCAACATGGCTTTGTGCGTGGGAGATCATGTCTCGTTAACTTGATTGAGTTTTTTGAGGGTACAGAGGTGGACATGATTGATATGGACTTCAGTAAGGGGTTCAACAAGGTTCCTCATGGTAGACAGGTTAGATCACATGGAATACAGGAAGAACTAACTATTTGGATACGGAATTGGCTCAAAGGTAGAAGATAGAGGGTAGTGGTGGAAGGTTGCTTTTCAGACTGGAGGCCTGTGACCAGCAGTGTGCCACAAGGACCAGTGCTAGATCCACTGTTTTGCATCATTTATATAAATGATTAGGATGCAAACATAGGAGGTGTAGTTACTAGGTTTGCAGATGACACTAAAATTGAGGTGTAGTGGATGACGAAGAACGTTACTTCAGAGTACAACGGGACCTTAGTCAGATAGAACAATGGGCTGAGGAGTGGCAGATGGAGTTTAATTTAGATAAATGTAAGGTGCGGCATTTTGGAAAGGCAAATCAGGGCAGGATTTATACACTTAATGGTAAGGTCCTGGGGAGTGTTGCAGAACAAAGAGACCTTGGAGTGCAGGTTCTTTGTTCTTTGAAAGTGGAGTCCCAGGTAGACAGGATAGTGAAGAAGGTGTTTGGTATGCTTATCTTTATTTGTCAGTACACTGATTATAGGAGTTGGGAGGTCATGTCATGGCTGTACAGGACATTGGTTAGGCCACTTTTGGAACATTGCATGCAATTCTGGTCTCCCTGCTTAAGGAAGGATGTTGTGAAACTTGAAAGGGTTCAGAAAAGATTTACAAGGATGTTGCCAGGGTTGGAGGGTTTGAGCTATAGGGAGAGGCTGAATCGGCCGGCCAAGAAAAATAATGTCTGAGGATTGGGTGCACTTTAGAATTCAGCAAAGAAGGACCAAGGGATTGATTAAAAAGGGAAATACACAGTATGAAAGGGGAATATAAAGACTGACACTAAGAGTTTCTATAGTTACGTGTAGAGAAAGAGATTGGTGAAGACAAATGTAGGTCCCCTACAGACAGAAATGGGGGAATGTATAATAGGGGACAAAGAAATGGCTGAGCAACTGAATACATTCTTTGGTTCTGTCTTGACAAAAGAGGACACAAATCAGATACCAGAGTTCTGGAGAATGCAAGATTTAGTGAGAGGGAAGAATTGAGGGAGTTCAATTTTAGTGGAGAAATGGTGCCGGGAAAATTGTTGGGATTGAAGGTGGATAAATCTCCAGGGCCTGATAATCAACATCCCAGAGTACTTAAGCAAGTGGCTCTAGAAATTGTGGAGGCATTGGTGGTCATCTTCCAGGATTCTATAGACTCTGGAATAGTCCCTGCAAATTGGAGGGTGGCTAATGTCATTCCATTATTCAAAATGGGAGGTAGAGAGAAAACAGGAAATTTTAGACCAGTAAGCCTAACATCGGTAGTGGGGAAAATTTTCGAATCCATTTTCAAGGACTTTATAACGGAGCATTCAGAAAGCAGTGGCAGGGTCAGACGAGTCAGCTTGGATTTATGAAGGGGATATCATACTTGACAAATCTGTTGGAATTCTATGAAGATGTAACTCGTAGAGTTGATAAGGGGGAGCCAGTTGATTTGTTATATTTGGACTTTCAGAAAGCGTTTGACAAAGTCCCACATTAGAGATTATTATGCAATATTAAAGCGCATGGGATTGAGGGAAGTGTATTGAGATGAGTAGAAAACTGGGTGGCAGAGAGGAAACAAAGAATAGGAACTAATGAGTGCTTTTCAAATTGGCAGGCAGTAACTAGTGGGGTGTCCCAGGGGTCGGAGCTGGGACCTCAGCTATTCACAATATATATTAATGATTTGGAAGAGGAAACAAAATATAACATCTCAAAGTTTGCACGTGATACCAAGTTGGGTAGGAGGGTGAACTGTGACGAGGATGCAGGGATCCTTCAGCATGATCTGGACAGATTGGATGAGAGGGCAAATCAAAGGCAGATGCAATATAATTTGGATAAATGTGAGGTTATTCACTTTGAAAGCAAAAACAAGAAGGCAGATTACTACCTGAATGGCTGTAAATTGGGAGAGGGGAGTGTGCAGCGGGAACTGGGTGTCCTTGTGCACTAGTCGCTGAACGTAAGCATGCAGGTGCAGCAGGCAGTAAAGAAGACAAATGTATGTTGGCCTTCAGTGCAAGAGATTTCAAGGACAGGAGCAGGGATGTTTTGTTGCAGTTATACA